TTATTCTGCAGGAGAAAGATGTGACAATCTGCTTCCACAAAGATTTACAGCTGTGAAAGCTCAGTGGAGCAGCTCTGCTCTGTCCTATAGGATCATCAGAGTCAGAATAGACTCTACGACAGTGGGTTTAATCTCCAAAAATTAATCCTTTGGAATAAATTCCAGGAAATATAAGTAGTTATGATCTGGCACTATAGAATAAGCACTGGACTACTAACCCCAGGGTCAGCAGTTCAAACCTACTAGCTGCTCCTTGGAAACTCTATACAGGGTTCACTATGATCAGAACTGACTTGACGGCACTTAACAATACAACAGCAAAATAAATATATCTGATATTACTCAGGAAGTCTATAAGGAATTTTAATTACTTTTCATAGATTCTCTTACCAAAAACAAATTACAGGCAGACACCAGGTTATTAACGCCTGATATGTTTACAACCCATCATTATGAATCAGCCCTATAAGCTTATTATATTAAAATTTTTAAGTGCATACAAAGTTAGTAATAATGAATGAGTGCTACTTTGTGGCACTCATCAAAACATAACATTTACAATATTATTATATTAAAGATGTGTTAGTGTATCTGGAAATGTTTCTTTAAATTTTTATGCATAGAAATGTACACTATATACTAACAAAAGCATTTGACTAATTGACTTTAGATAGGAACTGTAAATAACTGGATTTATATGCAAACGTGATTTAAAGACAAATTTAGAAACAGAACTCATTCAAAATCCGAGGACTGCCTGTATCTGACCCAGGAAAGAATTACTTGTCACTAAATTAGGTGGTAAGGAGCTCTGGTAGCGTAGTGGTTACGAATCGGGCTGTGAACCTTAAGCCCAGCAGTTCGAAACTACCAGCCGCTCCGCGGGAAAAAGATGAGGCATTCTGCTCTTGTAAAGATTTACAGCCTCGGAAACCCTATACGGGGTCGCTATGGGTCGGAACCGACTCGATGGCACTTAACAACAACAACAACAACAACAAATTAGATGGTGGTGGTGGTTGTGTGAGGTGGAGTCGATTCTGACTCAATGAATAAATATCAATTTACTTATTAAATTGATAATGGGAAAAAAATTAAATCTCTGCTATACCGATCTTAACTAAAAAAATTCATTCATTTGGTTTGTTTTCCCAGGGAACTAAATTAAATGTAGGTACACATGCAGACTTAATAACAACACAGGGACACATAAGCTTTGCAAAACACTTGGAAGGAGTGGTGCTGGTATTGGTTGTGTGCCACCAAGTCAGTTCAGACTCATAGGGAGGACTCTGTATTATAGGATTTCCATATACTCCTGTAAATCTTTTGTTTTCAAACATATGCAAAATTTTACTTTATTCATAGGATCTGAGGGAACCTTGTAGCTGTTCTAACCATTTCAAAAGAAAAGTTTAAAAAGCACAGATTTACATGAAGTTGGGATGAATTGCAAAGTCAGAGAAGTCTGCTTCTCTAGGGAGAATATAGTAGGAAAAAGTGGAGGAAATCAATTAGATTACTAATAGACATTTGTTGTTGTTGTTGTTAAGTGACTTTGAGTAGGTTCTGAGATCCATAGCAACCCTGTATAGGATTTCCAAGGAGCAGCTGGTAAGCTTGAACCACCTACCTTGTGCTTCAAAGGACTTTGGAGTCCAGCACATTAGCCCACAGCGCCACACCAGGACTCAAACAAAATAAACAGGGCTAGAATTTGAGAGTATAATAGAGAAAATGTAGTTTTCCAATGAAAAGTAATTTTTTTATACAAAAGTAATCAGGCAAATGGAATTAAAACACTCTCACAAAAAATATAAGCAAACACAATGACACATATTCTTTATCACCAACAGTTTGTCATGATTAGAACTCTAAATGTAGTTCATTTTTGAAATGAAGAAAAGAGGAACAGTTTCACCTTTGGGATTAATATTAACTTAATATTGGCAAGAAATTCCACTCTCAGAATTGTTTTAGGGTTTCTCAGAATGTGATATGTCAACTGCATCACAATTTTGTAAGACAGCTGTAAATTACAAATTCCTGAGTTCTACCTCATACATGCTGAATTAGAAATTTCTGAAAACCATGGCTTACAGATCACTCTTAGATTTAGGAAAAATTTTAATTGTCAGTGCAAAAAGAGCAACAACTAGGAAAAGATAACATAGTTGGTATAGTAGAGGACCAACATAAACAAGAGAAAATTTAACTGGATTGACACAATAGCCAGAAATTGTATCAAACGTATCAACGAATTTGAAGATAGGTTAAAACCAGGCAACATTTTGTTTTCTTGTACACAGGTTAGCTGTGAGCTGGGGCTGAGTCGAAGGCAACTAACAGTTCAAGAAAATTGCTCAGATATCTAAGGTAACTTAATTATTTTCTCTCCCTGACTGTTTTTTATCAAATACTGCTCGGCAGAACCAGTTTAGTGTCTTTGAGAAAAATGCTGATCAGGGGTACTTGTCAAGTTAGTAATGTGTTTTTTAAAATAAATGTGAGTTTAGCCCAGTTCTCTTTTATAGATCATGTTTATCTTTTATCTTGTTCTTAAGATTTTCTCCATCTTTTAAAAGTTTTTTTTACTATGAATTGAGTGAAAGTTTACAAGGCAGATAATCGGTTTTACATTCAACAAATCCTACAACTTTGTTTCATTAAAATGATTATAATCTCCACCCTGTACCATCAGTTAACAGTATTTCTCTCTATTCATTTTAGCTCTCTCTCTCTTTTCTTTTTTAACACTCGAGCATATATATAATAATTTACACAACCAAAGGACAGATTCTGCAAGTATGCCTCCTGGCCACCAGCTCTCAGTCCCTGTCTTTCCATGAATCTAGGGTCCTCAGCCGCTCCCTCTCTCCATGTCCCCATCTCTGTCTCCATCTCTGGTGTCACTGCTTCTGTGGATAAGGTCCCACATTCTGCTTGTGTTCTTATCCCTTGATGGTCCTACAGTCCTCTGTTTCAGGACTGTAAGATTAACTACTCCTCCATTTTTGCTATAAAACTTCCATCTTTAAAATTCTGACAGTCATAATTTGTTATGATAACAATTATTCACTACTGAATCATAAGAATCTTATCCCCAACTTTTTTTTTTTCCATATCTTTTTACCAGACCCATCTAGACCAGATGAAAACTATTCAGTGGGAACTCTCTTTTCCTCCTAGCACTCTTAAACTAAACTCCCTCTTAAAACCCTGTAAGCCAGATCCTGGGCCAACCTCACTACTATTGCCACACTCGAGTCCATCAATGCTGTCACATGACCAATCCATCTTGTTGAGGGTCTTCCTCTTTTTCTCTGACCCTCCACCTTACCAAACATGATATCCTTCCCCAGCAACTGGTCCCTCCTGACAATCTGTCCAAAGTATGAGAAACAAAGTTTGGACATCTTGGCCTTCAAGGAGCACTCTGGCTGAACTTCTTCCAAAACGGATCTATTGGTTCTTTTGGCAGTCCATGGTACTTTCAATATTCTCCTCCAATACCATAACTCAAAGGCATCAATTCTTCTACGGTCTTCCTTATTCACTGTCCAGCTTTCGCATGCATATGAGGTTATTGAAAATACCATGGCATGGGTCAGTCGCACCTTAGTCCTCAAGCTGACATCTTTGCTCTTCAACACTGTAAAAAGGTCTTGTGCAGCAGATTTGCCTAAAGCAATATGTCATTTGATCTCTTGACTGCTGCTTCCATGAGTGTTGATAGTTGATCCAAGAAGAATGAAGTCCTCGACAACTTCAATCTTCTCTCCATTGATAAGACTGTTGTTTATTGGTCCAGTGGTGAGGATTTTTGGTTTCTTGACATTGAGATATAATTCATACTGAAGGCTTTTTGATCTTCATCAGTAAATGTTTTAAGTCCTCTTCACTTTCAGCAAGCAAAGTTGTATCATCTGCATATTGCAGGTTGTTAATGAGTCTTACTCCAATCCTGCCACATTTTTCTTCATATGTAAATCTTTATGGAAGCAGAAAACCTCCTCTTTCTCCCACAGAGGGACAGGTAGATTTGAATTATAGACCTTACATTAGCAGGCCAGCTCGTAATCCACTCCAGCAGAGCTCCTTGGGAGGAGTACATATGTCATATAAACTTTCATATACAACACTGAACACAAAACTCGATTTCTTTTAACAATATTCTTTAGTGTCAAATACAAAATGAGAGCAGCAGATGTAAAAAAATGTTCCACTGTTTAATTTTTATTTAGCCTGTTTACAGTCAGGTAAACACAGGCTGTTATGACATGAATTATTTTATATTTCTTCACAAAATACCCTAGGAGAAGAGATAATTTTCTTAATTTAAAACTCAGCTTTTATTCTGTCAGGCAAAGTAATTATGGAAGCAAAACAAATCCACATTGTCTAATTAGGTCATTAAAAAGCATAAATGCGTCATGGAAGCTTTTCTCCTTGCCTAAGACTTAAAGTAAGACAATGAAAACAGTCTGGTAATATAGAAAGGTTTAGAATTTGTTTCTTTTCAAAAATAATAGACCCTTTCATCTTTCGATTTCCCTAAGACTAAGACAGTTAATTTAGAGACAAAATCTCTAATTAGTTCAGGGTTTTCTCTGATTATATTTCAAAATATTTAACCAAAAACAGGAAGACAGAGAAAATAAGAAAATACGTAGAGAAATTATCAAAGGAAGTGAATAAAATCAAGAGAGTGGGTTGTTGATCAAAATGTATTCTGCAGAGACAAGATGAATGTAAAATTGACAATCATATAAACACATCCAATCTGGGATACCAGAAAGCTCTTAGGAGTATGCTGGCATCTGCCTTTGGGGTTTGAAATCCAGACTTTAATTACAGCTAACCTAAATAAAAACAAATGGCATGATTGTTTTGTCTGTTTCTCTCTCTACTTCTTATTATTTTTTTAGTTTTAGAAAACTCATGGTTCATCCAAAGTGTAAAGAAGCAAAATGAATGAAAGGAAAGATTAAGAAACTTACCTGGGATCCTCTTGGCCCTCGCTTATGGTCCCATTCAGAATGTCCCATGAGCTGTAAAGATAATATAATACAATAAAGTAAATGATACTTATTTTACATTGTAAATGGTTTCAATCTTTCTTTTAAAGAATAATAAGGCTTTTAAAATAATGCTGTGAATAACCAGCATAAGTAAATTAACTAGCTTAAATAATAAACTACTGAAGTAATAAATGCATTTAATAAGGTATAGTTTTCGTGCTCATTCTCAGGAACATCCTATACACATGCTAGACAGTGTAAAGTTTTATTTGCATATCATTAAGTCGATAGTTGTTTAGTGGTTTAAGCACAGTGGTTGCAATATGGAAATGATTGTGAGGAAGACACAGGACCAGGCAGTGTTTCATTTTGTCATACAAAAGATCACAACATGCTGATACCTAACAACAACAACAAAGCCTCTAATTTACTAGGAAAATATTGCCCAAGTAATTTGCTAGTGCAGTTTAAAGTACTGTCAGTCATAGCAATAACCAGAAGACTAAAATATTTGAATATTTCAAACTATGTATAGGTAACATAAAAATATAAGTGATCTAAAGAGTAAAGTTATGTAATATAAAATATGTTCTTAAAGCACAAAATGAATATTTGCATAATACAGAGAATGAAGTTTAATATCCATTTACTGATAAAAACAAAAAACCCCAGAAGAATTGTAAGGAAATACAAGGCATCATATAAGTGGAATGAGACCCCATTCATCTATCTAGACACTCACTATTCATGGACCCTCACTCGTCTGTCAGTTTCTTGTATTGTGGTGGCTTGTGAGTTGCTATGATTCTGAAAGCTATGCCAAGGTATTTTAAATACCAGCAGGGTCACCCATGGTGGACAGGTTTCAGATGAGCTGCCAGACAAAGACATACTAGGAAGAAAGAGTAACGAACTACTTCCGGGGAAGAGCGGCCTCCTCAAAGTAGAATTGACCGTGATGCCATGAATGGAGTCAAGCCTGCATGACCTTCATTTGCTGATGGGGCACAACTCAAAATGAAGAGAAAGAACTTGTAAACATCCATTGAAAATCGGAACAGGGAATGTACGAAGTATGAATCTGGGAAAATTGGAAGTTGTCAAAAATGAAATGGAATGCATAAACATCGATATCTTAGGCATTAGTGAGCTGAAATGGACTGCTATTGGCCATTTTGAATCGGATGACCACATGATTTATTATACCGGAAATGACAAATTGAAGAGGAATGGTGTTGCATTCATTATAAAAAAAAAAACATATCCTGATCAGTCATGAGACACAATGCTGGCTGGCTGTGAGAGGATAATATCTACGCGCCTACAGGGAAGCCCAGTTAATACCACTATTATTCAAATTTATGCACCAACCACTAAAGACAGTGAGGATGAAAGAGAAAAATTCTACCAACTTCTTCAATCTGAAATTGATAAAATATACAATCAAGATGTATTGATCATTACTGGTGATTGGAATGCAAAGTTTGGAAGCAAAGAAGAAGGATCAATAGTTGGAAAATATGGCCTTGGTGATAGAAATGATGATGGAGAATTCATGATAGAATTCTGCAAAACCAATGATTTGTTCATTTCAAATACCTTCTTTAGATAGCATAAGAGATGCCTATACACATGGACCTCACCAAATGGAATACAGAGAAATCAAATTGACTACATCTATGGAAAGAGACGATGGAAAAGCTCCATATCATACGTCAAAACAAGGCCAGGGGCAGACTGTGGAACAGACCATCAATTACTTATATGCAAATTCAAACTGAAGCTAAAGAAAATGAAAACAATTCCAAAAGAGCCAAAATATAGCCTTGAATATGTTGTTGTCAGGTGCCATCGAGTCGGAACCGACACATAGTGACCCCAGAAAAAAACAATGTCCGATCCTGGGCCAACCTCACTACTGCTGCCACACTTGACGCCATCAATGATGCCACCTGGCCAATCCATCTCGATAGAGGTTTCATCTTTTTCTCTGATCCTCCACCTTACCCAGCATTACATCCTTCTCCAGCGACTGTTTCCTCCGGACAATATGTCCAAAGTAGGAGAGATGAAGCTTAGCCATCTTGGCCTTCAAGGAGCACGCTGGCTGCACTTCTTCTAAAACAGATCTATTGGTTCTTTTGGCAGTCCATGGCACTTTCAGTATTCTCCTCCAACACCACAACTCAAAGGTATCAATTCTTCTATGATCTTCCTTATTCACTGTCCAGCTTTTGCATCCATATGAGGCTATTGAAAACACAATAGCCTGGGTTAGGCGCACCTTAGTCCTCAAGCTGACATCTCTGCTCTTCAATACTTTAAAAATTTCTGTGCAGCAGATTTGCCCAATGCATTACGTCGTCTGATCTCTTGACTGCTGCTTCC